TAAGCCTTAACATTAGTCTTCTTTAATTTCCAATTATGATTTCCCTGGGGTTTTGTGAGAATCTAGAGACACTTGAAATGCAATCCCATTGCAGCTTTTAATTTTTCAGTTTCTCTTTCTGACCTAATTTGATAGCAATTATTTCAAACACAATTAGATTTTACAGATTTATTATCTTCCCCATACATTATGTTTTATGTATTTACAAAAGCAAGGAATAACAGTAGTTCTCACAAACAGGGAAAACTTCCGAGACATGCTTTTCCTTATTTCTCCTACTGAGACTTTGGTGGCTCTTCTACCACCTGTCCCAGTGTGCAGGCCTAGGGCTCCCCTCCCTCATTCTCCTATGCATGGAGCTGCCTTTTCCAAATCCTGGCAAACAACATCCAAGTCTCACTGGAGGATCTGCCATCTCCTGCACTGTGAGGTCCAGATCCTGTGGGATACCATCATCAGTAAAAGGAGGGTCTTGCCTGTGTTCTTACTTTTGAAGGCGCCATCAAAACACAGAGAAGAAAAGCATTTGTGATCACAGGTGAAGGTTTACTAGCAGCTACCAGAAGCTAGAATGCTTCTGCCCTACAGTCTCTTCAGGGGAGTGTGACCTGGACAACACTCTGATGCTAGTCCAGTGTCACTGATCTTAGATTTAAGTCATCCATGAGTATGAGAAAATTAAATTCCTATTATTTTTAAACCATTAAATTTGAGGTGATTTCTTTTAGCAGCAAATAGGAAACCAGGCTTTCTAGTAATTTAAGTCTATGTGACCAAATTTTCATCATGCAAATGTAGCCAATATTAAGTGGCAGTTGTCAAAGCTGTGCAACCTTCTAGAAAACATAAATGGTGACTATCCTAATGTCAGTAACAGGCACTTAAACAAGCAGCTTCTTCAGACTGATTGAAGTAATGTGATTCTTATTAGCAGCAAGAATGTGAGGTAACTGGTTTGCCTTGAGGAACCATTCCCTTCAAGCTAGACACAGAGATGTTCTTTTTTCTATAAAATACTTCTGATAACTTGAACCTTAACAAATCTTTCCTTCTAAAGCTAATTGGGATACAATTCATTATTGTGGTTAACCCTGATTTATACATGGGGAGGGTTTCTCCCGCTAGAAACTTCCTGATCACTGCTTTAGCTCTGGAGCTTGGGCAATCTCTTTGCAGCTCCTAGCTTCTATATTAACTGGGCAGTTTGCTGGCTGGTATTTTATCATCTCTGGTGCTGGGTAAATGTGGTAGTGTCAGCCTTGGAGTCCTATCCTATTATTTTCTGGTTCATAGGGACTGGTCCCACCAGTGTCTTTGACTTGGTTCAAGTAAGGGGTGTTGTGACTTGCTTGAGTCTCTTAAGTGTCTCAGTTTTGTTTTTCCACCAGAGACATGAAATAGAAGTGTAAGGAGGGTATTTTTTAAATGCCTCTAGAAGTAAAGTGTGAGAAAATAGGAAATATGAGATACTGAATAGAGGCAAAGCCAACAAAGGGTGTGCTACAGAGCTGCTGAGCACTGTGAAGAAGCCCAGGTCTTGGTTTTAGATTATCTCTTAAGGACCCAGGTTCTATGCTTCTCAATAATCCACCAAGCCATGGGAAGCAGACTCTTATTTGCCATGTAACAGCCAACAGAACCTGACCTCACCTGTAAATGAGCTGAGTGTGCTATCTTACTGTGTTTACAGCAGTGTGTGAAGAACTGAGCATGAAGGCTTAAATTGGGTTTGAAGCCCTGGCTCTCTGTCTGGGAATCTCCTCCAAATGAGTAACCTGACTGTAGGGTATAGACAGGAGAATCTATGCACTTGAAATGGAAGAAAAGAAAGCTCATGATACTGGTGGAGCAAGTACTTTTGGTTGGTCATCTGAATTGGCCGTAGTTGCCCCTCTTAGGTAACTAAGTCACCTCTGTCATCCAACTCTTTGTTAAATTCATTCAGGGTTACTCCACTCCATGACACCAACTCTATCTGACTAACATATAGAGGTACATATGACCAAGATCTTTACTCAGGACTTGAGCCATGCAGAAGTGAGTAACTGAAGCATTTGAGACACAAGAGAATATCAGACACACACACAGGTGCAGGAAGAAATGAGATTAACACCAGCACTTTCCTTTCTAGTAGACAAATATATGTAACAATTATAAATGAGATGCAACTTGATGAAGTTGTTTAATATATAAGATGAACAAGAGTAATGCATGGCTTACAAACAGTTTTGGAATTCAGCCCATGGTCAAAAAAAAAAAAAAAAGTATATTACATCCCAGTACATACCTCCATATGCTTGAAAAATTTAAAAAGTTAAACAAAACTTAAGTTTAAAAAAATGCAATACTCTTAGGTATTATTTTATATAATGTTCTATTTAAATTTTAGCTAAATTCATCAGGTTCCTCAGAATTTACTCTGCTTGCAATTTAACAATACCAAGTTAGGAGACTTAACATATGTAATGGTTGGGCACAGCCTCTTTCACCTCTAATAGCCCTGGTACTTGATGGTGAACTCACTGGGGCAGGTCTCCTTTTAATGTGCTGGGATGGGCAATGTGACATTTTCCACTGAGATACTTTTGCACTTGAGTAACTCATACTCTGCTTTCTCTTGCATTCTGTGGCAGTTTAATTTTTCTGGCCTGGGAGTGATTCTCCACTTTCTAACTTATTTGAGAATTTCGTTCTGAAGCCAATCTTATTTCAGAGTATTGGAACTTAGCTCTCTGTTATACCTCAATTTTTCTCTATTAATATATTAATACCTATGGAAGCTACAACCAACTACATTCCCACAAGTAAAAAAAATATATATATATATATACATATATATATATACATACATATATATATACATATATATATATATTAATACCTGCTATTGAGGTAATTTTTTTCAGCATTTATTAGGTGTTTTGACTTTACTTCTTCTCTAACATTTGCTCAGGAAAAGGTAACCTTCACAATGGAAGCAAAATCCCCAGGGAAATAAACTGAGCTCACTATCTGTCACTGAGTCTTAGGCTCTTTTGATTAGTAATGGTTAATGCTGAGTAGCACACTTAGGTCCTAGAATACCATTTCTCTTACTTCTTTTTTTTTTTTTGGTACTGGGGATCGAACTCGGGTCCTTGCGCTTGCACAGCAAGCGGTGAAACCACTGAGCTAAATCCCCAGCCTCCTTTCCCTTACTTCTAAATTAAAAATAAGTACTCATACTAAAGTACAATGTTGTAAATATAGAATAAGATGTTTATGAGGTGCAATCAAAAAATAGTGACTATTTAAAAATTTTATTAACAGTGAAAGATGCATTGATATTAATCTCCATCAAAATAAGCTCCCCTGCTTCAAATACACTTATCCCATCACTTTTTGACTTTTTCAAAGCAGTTCGGGAAGTCCTCTTTCATAAGTTTGGTTGCATTGCAATGGCTGTCTCAATGTCCTGAATCCATTAAAATCATTTACCTTTTGACTTAAGTCACTTTCCCCATCACTGGGACACAATAACTGACACCCACAACATAAAGAAGTTTATATACCTCACAGTTTTTAGGTTTTAGTCCATAGTCAGCTGGCTCCAAGGCAAGAAAACATGGCAGAAGAGCATAGCACAGAAAGTTGATCATATCGCAGCTACCAGAAAGCAGAGAGAGAAGGGAGGAGCCAGGGAGGGAGGAGCACCTCCAGTGACCCACCTCTTACCACCAGGCCCCACCTCCTAACATCACATTTAGTTATAGTACTTCCATGTTCAATAGCCCTTCAAAGCCCTTCCCTATGAGCATGTGAGGCTTTGGAAGGACATCCAATATAAACTATAATACCTTTCATGGTATTCTTTGGGAAAGTGTCAGAAGTCACATGATGCTGGATACAGTACATAAGGTGGGTGAGAACATACCATAATATTTTGTTGAATATACAAAGCCCTGGGCTCGTACCCCAGCAGCAATGCCCCCCCCAAAAATTAAGAATTTCTATTCATGAAATATTATTAGAAGTGTGCAAAGGTAAGACATAGAAGGAAAAACACGATGGCAGTGCGTATTTCTAGAGAAGGGCTTGTAGTGCCGAATATACGGGGTACTATATATTTCTAAGAAAAAAACCAGACATTCCAACAGATAAAAGAACGGCTGAGAGATTTCAGAGGAGACATTCAAATGACAGTACCAACTAGAGAAGTTAAAATTAAAACCTGCAGATACTACTGCATACTTATCAGAAAGGTAAAGACAATGACAATAACAAAACAGATTAATAATCACAAGTATGCTAACTGGAATTGTCAAACACTGCTGATAGCAGTGTAAGCTGACAGAGCCACTTCAGAAAAGCCACTTTAGGTTTGGTAGTAACTTCTCATGAATTCTACATGAACCAGCAATTCTATTCCTAACCACTACACAAATTCACCAAAAATTCTACAGGAATGCTCTAACTACAAGCTGGAACAGAAAAATAGTTACCACTAGGGAAAATGGACAGTATTACAAATAGGGAATGAAGGGATTTTCTGGGCACTGCTAATATTCCATTTCTTGATATAAGTAGTAGTTGCATGATGTCTTCCCTTTGTGATAATCTATTGTTTACAATTTTCATGTTTGTCCCATTTTTGTTTTGCTCAATGAAATCAAATTTATTAAAGAAACACTGGTGGGGAAAAGCAGGGGAGATTAAAAAAAGGGCCCCAGGAAAAACTTTGTGTACTGAATATGCTAATTATGCAGACTGTGGTTTCACAGATGTACACAACAGATAAAAAGATAATCCCTTAAATATATGCAGATTATGTCATTATACCTCAAAGATGTATAAAAGAAAAAGGTAGGGTATAAAAGATGAAGTTAAAAAGAAACAACACTTAAATAGGTAAAATAAAACAGGCTAAGAATTCACTAGCTAATTATCTGTCTCAACAGTCCCGAAAAGGCAAACTTTCTAAAAGAGTAAAAGCAAAATTTAGATATTGAAAATGAACGTACCACAGAACATCACCAATGCCAAATGTTGGCTCTTTTAAAAGATTAATGAAAGGCCCAGGGATTTAGTGCAGTGACACTGCACCTGCCTTGCAAGCACAAGGTCCTGAGTTCGATCCCTAGTACCAAAAAAAAAAAAAGATTAATGAAATTGAAAGTCCACTGGTAAATTTATGTGATATATTAATTACCCATTACTAATTGTAACATACGTATGTACATACACAGCCACACCTCTTCATGAGGATACATTCTGGGAAATGAATCTTAGGATGATTCCCTCTCTACACTATGATATACTTACATAAATCTGGACAGCACAGCCTCCATAGACCTGGGCTGTATGTTATGGCTACCTTTGCAATACGTAGTCCATAAATGGCCAAAATGTCACTCTGCAGAGCATGACAATGTTATAAAGCTACAACAATGTGGACCTGGCAAAGGGCTGAATAATTAAACCTGTGGAACTAGAGACAGAATTCTCAGACATACTTTTTTTTCTTTTGGTACCAGGGATCAAACTCAGGACCTTGTGCTTCTGAGGCAGGCACAGTGCCACCAAGCTAATTCCCCAGCCCTCAGAGATACTTAAATGACAGAGATTGTACTGCAGAAAAATTGAAAAATATTCCCTTTCCAATGGAAGCTGTGGGGAAATTGGGGTATCTGTGGCAAAAAAAAAAAAAAAAAGGAGTTACTTCAAACCTGGGGTTTCTGTCCTTATTGAAAGGGCTTATTCATATATGAGGCATTAGTTTCTCAATTATACCTATCATGTGGGTAGATTATAAAAGTTACTACAGAGAAGACCACCTTTCCTCAAATAAATCTGTAGTATTACCCCATCAAAATTTTAATATGCTTAATGTTTAATGGAAGGGACCAAAACAAAAAAATTTAAAATTCATCTACAAGGTTAAATATAAATACACTAGCCAAGAAACTTCTAAATTACAAGAGCAACAGAAGGAGCTACCACTACTTGACACTAAAATATATCATGAAATATAATATATGGCAATAGTGACCCAAAAAATCACAATAGGAATTAAATCAACAGTACTCTATATAGATATGAGATGATTCCTTTGTTAAGAGCAACAAAAGGGCAAATAATTACAAAGATCTCAACAATAACATTAAATGTGAATGGATCAAACCTAATCAGAAGGCCAATGTTGGACACAGTAGTAAATCTCAGAGATAGAGCCCACGGCAAGAATACATGAGGCCATGGATTCAGTCCCGGTTCCTGGCTTTCCCCCTCCATATACTGACACACTGAATAATCACCTATTCATGTTTCAGGTCATTAACGAGTTGAGAAACGTTTAGACACTGCTAACTGCCAAAGATCACCCAACACCTAGAATCACACTGAGGGGAAGACTGAGCTCATACAGCACACTAACTCTAAGGTTCCCTAGGGTTTGGATCTTCACACCTATCCCAGGGAGAGGAAAGAACAAGGCACGAGCAGGTCTCGAGATCACAAAACAAAATGGTGGCTTCAGGCGTTCCTGCAAGTACTCTCACTGACATCATCTCCTGGGGCCAGGGACGAAAAGGGGTTAAAACTCAAAGGTCCCACTTTCTCCCAGGAAAGGATCTGCCAGCAAATTGTGCCAGCTGCTGCTGCCGCCCACAGCTGCTGCTGCGCACACCTGCGCTACTATCGTCCAGCCTGCATTAGGAGTTAACGGGAAAAACACTACCCCTTCGGCCCCAGACTCCAGAGCACCCCAGGACAGCTCCAGATTGACCAGTTCTCCCCGGAAGAAGTTTGTCCGTGCACGAAGTGTCCCAGCTTTGACACCTCCCACTCTAGGCACAAGTCCTAAACCCACGGTCTAGAAGCAAGGGGCAGGGCTTGCGGAAATCCCCCCAGACCACATTTCAGTCAGAGCAAGGGCGTCCAGCCCGGCCGCCGACCTAGGCCCGCCCCGGCGCCGCAGCCGGAGGGGGCCGAGCGCCCTGGAGTCCGCAAGACACAGATGTCACAACCGGAGGGGAGGGGACCTGGGTGTGCAGAGGAAGACGGCAGCTGCAGACTCCAGAGCCGACCCCGGGGAAACCCGCCCTGCCACAGCCGGTTTCCGCGGGTTCCGAGGCGCCTCACTTCCTGGTCTCAGGACGCCCGACCGCGCACTCACCATTTCCGGTTTCCGGGGTTTCTGCGCCCTCCCAGGAATCTCCGACCCCTGCAGGCCACCGGGCCACCGGGGATACGAGAGAGCGATCTGAACCTCTTGGCCAGAGAACACCAGATCCCAAGATGGCGGACTTCAACCACAAAGGACCGCCTAATTGTGGAAGTCCCGCCTTTCTGGCTGTGTGCCTGAGTGGACAGGTCTCATAATCCTGCTTCCGATTGGGGAGTTATGTGGGCTCCGCCTTCTTGGTCACTGAATGACAGTAGATGCTACCAACCCATGGCTGAAGAGGAAAGACTGACAGGGTTTTGGTTGCAGCTTTTTTTCTGTTTCTCCGGTGCCTGAGCTAATCTAAGGTAAAATATTCTCCATGTGGAGTGAAGTAGTATTACAGGCAGCTAAATTAGATAGGAATTAATATACAGAGAGGAACTGGGCTGTCAAGGAAATTAACAGAAAAAATAAAAACATCGGGATTGTTGCTGGAGGTGCAACTGAAAAAGGCCAAGCCTCAAGATAAAGATGCAAAGACCAGCTTTAGGTGCCTTCGTAAAGGAAAAGCAATAACTTGGAATTATACTGTAAATGGTATCACTTGGTCCAGTAAAGTCCAGATAGGCATCGGTCACCCAGGTGGGTGACCAGAACAGCTGGACTCATCTCTAAAATCCCTTTGTTCTTTCCACGTACCCCTGCTACGTGACCGGCTTCCCTATTGGAGCAATATTAGCTAAACAGCTATACTTGTAATCCTATAGATTGATTGTAGTTTGACCCACGTTGTACCCACGTTGTGACTTTGCTGTAGAAATTGCCCCAAACAAAGGGCTTCGGTGGCAACCCATTTCGGGTACCCCTCCGGCCTCTTAGGAGCTATTCCTATCCCCCATTAATCCTTTCCTACTCTTAACCTGCTTTGTCCTTTCTAGTTCATTCTTCAGTTTCAGGGGACGTGAATTGAGTATATCTGACATCCAGCAAGTTGCGAGTTATATTTTTCCCTATATTAGTAGCCCTCCATGGGGCCCTTTGCATTTATTTTTGTTCATAAAGTCATATGTTATTTACATATGTGTATACATTATTCACAAATGGAAAAATATGACAGCTGCTTTTGAATATTACTGGATTTTTCCGACCTGCAAGGAAGCAGCTTGAGCTTTGAAATGGGAAACAGTGCTCTAAGGCATCAATGTCCAATGCATATAAAATGTGGGACTTGGGCTGGGGATTTAGCTCAGTGGTTCCGCCACCTGCCTCGCCAAGAACCCAAGTTCGATCCCCGGTACAAAAAAAAAAGAAAAGTGGGACTTGAGTGTGACTTTTAATTTTCTAGTATTCACTTTAAAAATTAAAAGAAACAAGTGATAATGAGGTAGAACAGGGACCATTTTGGCCACAGGAGAAAAGATTCTTGGGCCTTAGTCCATGACCCATTTCCCACAGGTGGTGAAGACAAGATTTTTCCCTGTCCCTTGCCAATAAGGATTCCAATGTGCACTTCCTTTATCCTTTATCTCCTCTTACTGAGAGGGCCAGGTGTTCTGCAACTGGCAGGGTGATGCTCTGATGTCTCCAAGGAGGAGAATTGCCCCTCACCTGTTTCTTACAAAAGGAAGAAACCCCTTAAAACACAAGGGAGATGTTTCTTTAAAAGCCCATATCTATCACCTGTCAGAAAAATTACCAAGCCCTAGTGGCTCCAGAAACCCCATAAAGATTGTCCCTTTCCTTTAAGAGGCTAGCCTGGGGCCAGGGATTTATCTCATTGGTTCCACCGCCTGCCTCGCAAGTGCAAGGTCCCAAGTTCAATCCCTGGTACCAAAAAAAAAGAGGCTAGCCTGATCTCAGTCAGCACTATGCCCATTATCTCTTTTCCTCCCGCTGAAGTCCTGGGTTTCTCTTCCTTCTCGCTTGAGAGCTTTCTGTGTTCTATACTTCTTGGCTTTGAATTTCTTTTATCACAGGGTCTAAGGGCCCCATGTACAGGATCAATATATCCAAAATAGCATCACGTGAACAATATAAAATTATTAATGGAGTACATATATTTTTGGTGCTAAATCTTCAAAGCTCACTTTAGTTTAAGCCTCTACCACATCTCACTTCAAAGCCGCCCCATTCTGCCTTTGAGAGCTATGACTGAAGCAGGATAAAAGAAATAAATATAGATAGACAGGAGACAAGAAAAATCATCAATTTTAAATAGACTTTAAAAAACTACTGCAGCTTCAGAACCCTCTTTGTTCCCAAAGGTTACATTTTTCCCCCTTCCAGGCTACTCCTAAATTCCTAAGTCGTAGTAAATCCACTAAACTGAACCTGTGCCTTCCTCCTGTAAAGTGGGCCTGTTGTGCCCAGATTGTGAGGTCCCAAAGACCACCAGGAGGCCGTTTCCGATGTAAGCGCACGAGGGTCGTTTATTCAAGCTTAAGCAGGGACTCTCAATTGTCACCGACACAGCGGATCGAGATTGAGAGCCCCAAGTTTCAACCTAGCGGGGTTTTTATAGAGGTTACAGCAAGGTTTGGAGATTTTCTACTTAGCAGTTACATGATTGGTTAACATTTAGTGAGCTTGAAGTGTACATTTTTGATTGGCTGAACTCATCAGGGGTAAGGGGGGATTATGTATAGGCTTTTACAAGGAAAATGGGGACAAAGGTTAGTGGCCCACTGTCACGTATTGATGGTCAGCAGACACGGTGACTAATGGTCACGACCACTCAGCACTGACAGTCAGCACATTGACAGACGGTTCCTACAGATAGTGGGCCCAGGATGTTCATTTCCTGGGTAAACAGATGGCTGAGTAATTAACTTAGGAACTTTGGTTTGTTACAGATTGTATCTTTTGTCCTAGATCAAGCACATTTTAATCATTAATGTGAGAGGACAAAGGAGACTACTCCATTTTGGGCAAAAGTGGAGTCATTCTGGTTTCACATAAGCAAAATGGAGTCACTTTGGTCTCACAGGCCTTTCACCTATATATGAATTCTTGCCTTTCCTCTGTAAATTGAGTGCATTCTTTCTCTCTTTATTACAGATTGACAAATTCCACAGATTTCTACCTCTAAAAAAAATGAATATACCCAGCCACAGACCATAAGGCACCTCATCCCTCAAGAGGCAGCACTCCTTTCTCAGTGTTAGTTCTGTTTAATAAACTTGTCTATGCCTCTCAGTCATACATCCTGAAATGCTTTGCTTTGATATAAGTTGGTGAATCCACAACCTACTCTTGGTACAGTGAGTTAAGTTCCGCATCTCCTCTTTGAGGGACCTCCTCAGACCCCATCCCATGATAGGACTTCAGACCCTAGGGAGATGAAGGACCTGAGCCCCTCCTTTTTATCCTAGAGGTGAGGAAACATGATTTTCTACTGATATTCGTCCTCAACTCCAAGAAGGGGAAGAGGAAGTGCCTGAAAAAGAGCAGGGAGCAGAACTTCCTGCCACCTGCAGGTGGGCTCAGGCCTATCCTCTTCCAGGGATGGGACGATAAAGGAAGAGGAAACAATAAACAAAAGAGGAAGGAACCCCAAGTCCTCAGATCCATCCCCATCCCTGGCTTCTAATGTTTAAATAGATTAAAGGCAAACTTCCTATTTTGCACTTTGGCCTTGGGCCTAATGGTCAGGCTGTGGATGTCTGTTTCCTCTGTGAAGTATGTGGGATAATTGTGAGTTAAAGCACCAATTATATTTGTATTCATGTCTGCATGTGCTTCTCTATAACTCTATACTATCTAACAAGACATCTAACTTTAAATCACAGGCA